GCTGAGATTTTTTTCTGTAGTAGAATCTCAAAAAGCTTAAAGAGATTGAAAGACATATTTCAAGTTCTGAAAGGCTACAGCTACTACCATATATATATATATATGTGTGTCTATGTATAGACTACTATACATAGCAACATTATCTTTAATTGAAGGAAGAACTGAAATGTTCAATAATAAAAATAGGTTAAAAGAATTTATGATCACCAAGTCAACTCAATACTGGACACATGGAGAAATTCATGGACTGACAGGGATATGAGAATCCTAGAGCCAAAAAAAATAAAATAAAATGAATGAATGAATGAATGAATGAATAAATAAATAAATAAACAAACAGTCCAGGAGAGATATAAAGCAAAGAGGACTAAAATAACACCAAACACCACAAAATCTACAAAATGAAAGGAATGAAAACAGACCTTCCAATAGTGACTCTGAACATTAATGGTATTAGTTCTTCAGTCAAAACCCACAGACTACTAGATTGAGTCAGAAAACAGTATCCCTCATTTTGTTGCTCTCAAGAAATACACTTCACCATCAAAGACAAACACTTTGGGATGAGATAATGGGCAAAGACATTCCAAGCAAATGGAACCAGGAAACAAGCAGGTGTTTCTATTCTAATATCTAACAAATTAAATTTCAAACCCAAACCAATCAAGATATAAACAAGGATATTTATACTGTTTAGGGGATGACCCATCAAGAGGACAAGACAGTTCTGCACATATATACACCAAGCACAGATGCTCTGAATTCCATAAAATATGCTATAAAATATAAAGACACAGGTTAACCTCAAAGTAATAATACCTCATTCTGACTAATAGGGAATCTAGACACAAAATAAACAGAGAAACTTTGGACTTGGGTGACACTCTAGATCCAACCAACTTAACACACATTAACAGATACAAATGTTCTCAATAAAATACTTGCTAACCAAATTCAAAATTAAATGAAAATATCATTCACCATGATCAAGTTGAATTCATCTCAGTGATGCAGACATGGTTCAGCATATGTAAGCTAATAAATGTGATTTATCACATAAATGGACTAAAAGATATAACATGATCCTCTCAGTAGCAAAATTCAACAGCCTTTCATGATAAAAGTCAGTGAGAAACTAAGAATGGAAGATGTATTAGTGATTTTTCTTTGGCCATGATAAACACCCTGACCAAGGCAACTTATAGAAGAATTTGTTCAACTTATGATTCTAGAGGGATAAGAGCCCATCCTGGCTGACAGCACAGACAGCTAGGGGAGAAAGCTGAGCACTCACTTATTCTGGCTTGTGCAGGAACTGAGAGAGATGACAAACTCGAGATGGGGTAAAGCCATCAACTCTTAAATCCCAGTCAGTGATGTGCTTCCTCTAGCAAGACCATACTTCCCAAAGGTTCCATGACCCTCCTCATACAGCACTATTACCTGTTAAAATAGTTGGAGCCAATGGGGGACACTTCTCACTGAAATCATCACTCAGGGAGCATGCCTCAATATAATAAAGACTATATACTACAAATCTATAACCATCATCAAGTAAATGGGTAAGCATTCAATGAATTCCCATTAAGAGCAGGAATAAGACAAGGGTGTTCTCTCTCTATGCCTACTCGATATAGTGTTTGAAGTCTTACCTAGAGCAATAAGACAAGAGCAGGAAATAAATGTTATTCAAGTAGGAAAAGAGGAAATGAAAGTATCCTTACTTCCACATAACATGCTTCTCCATCAGCTGACAAACACTTCAGCAAAGTGGCAGGATACAAAACCAACACACAAAATCAGTAGCCTTTCTTACAGCAGCAACAAACATAGAGAGGATGAAATTAAAGAATCAATACTATCCACTGTAGCCTTCAATAAAATAAAATTCCTTGAATAAACCGAAACAAGGAAAGGAAGGACTTCTACAATGAAAACATTAAAATGGGGAAGAAACTGATGAAGACGCTTTAAATGGGAAGCCATGAATGAAGAGAGAGAGAGAGAGAGAGAGAGAGAGAGAGAGAGAGAGAGAGAATAAATAATACCTAGGTAGTTTAAAAAACAGAGGGAATCATATTAGTCCAAAAACCTACTGACTAATTACACATCCAGTATCTTTACATGAGTCCAAGTGTACATTTTACAGCTACATAACAAGAAACAGGACCAGACAAAAGAAACCTTCCCTTGAGTTGTTGGCTAGGGTGGTCTAACAGATCTCCCAAAATTATACAGGCCATTGCCACAGCCCTTGATTTCCTCACAGAACTTGAAGATAAGACCTTACTGCTGAAGACGGAACATACTTCGGACACAGGATTTGGAGCAGTGGGTCTGGAACTGTCCTGGAAGCCACTTCCACTGAAGGCTAGCTCTCATAGCTTTGGAGAGCACTATGAAGGTGCCATGGGAAAATATCAATTGATGGTCCAACACCAGCTTCAAGACCAAATAGCCACATCAGTGGCCATCATAGCATAGGACACTGGTGTAGTGGTGGCAGTTTTATCGTGGGGGCAATCAACAGCTACCTAATTGGACTAAAAGCCCACTCAGTGAAGAAAATTCAAGTGTCATACTGTAAACAAAACCAAATACACATGACTGGAGTGGTCATAGGTCTTAGAGAAAATCCCAAGACTGTCACATGCCTAGACTAATGTGACTTTTTACTATGTGCAAAACATGTATCCTCATATTACAGACAAATAGCCCAGTCACCACTCATCAAAGAAGCTCGTTTTACATCAGTTGGAGACTATTACCAAGTACCACAACTAGTCGCACTCTAATATTGTCTGTGAATTTCCCAGGCCTAAGTGACAGATCTACAATGCAACCTCTACACCTTAGGCTCATTAAATATAGAACAGGGGTAAAGAAGAGGACACTAATGAATCTCAGTTCTCAGTAATGAAGCTCCCTCATGCAACAGAGAGCCAGGAACACAAAAGGTCACAAATGGCCAAAGTATAGAGATCAAGAGTTTGCTGACTGCTGATCCTTGGACAGAACTCCTTCATTAAACTTCACCCACTCAGGGATCATCACAGAAGAGGGAGTGGAAAGATTGTAAGAGCAAGGGAGGACGTGCATGACCATAGGCAAATAGAATCCTACAAGCTCCTGGGAACATGCTGATTTGATTCTATGGCAATGGTGTCAGCATACACAAGTCCCATGCAAACTCAGGCAGACAAAACCCCAGCATAGAACTGGGAAAATAAAGAACAGACCCCAATATTATCTGGAGAAATGTTGTTAACTCATTTCTGCTAGGTAAGAACTGAGTTTCATAAAACAAGGGACTAGAGATAGCTGAGTAGACCTCAGTGGATGGACTTGCACTGGGAAACATCTTGGGACACTGACGATGCAGTGGGCCTTCACCCAGATGACAGAGTATATAGGCTCCAGTGTTGGGGGGGTTATGGGTGGGTGCTAGTGGGGATGGGGGTATAAAGATAATTAAGATTGAGATGTTCTGTATGAAATACACAAAAATTCAATAAAAACAAACTTAAAATATTTTCTATAAACAGAGGCAACTAATTAGGTGAACAGCAAGTTCACTGTATTAAATAAAATGACTCAGACATTGGAAGACCAATAACAGGTCATTATTTATATTTGGAAGGTGGTCTAGTTTCAATTATATTCCTGTGATAAAACACTGTGACCAGGCCAGGTACGTTTGTAGTCCCAGCACTTGGGAAGCAGAGGCAGGCAGATCTCTGTAAGTTAGAGGCCAGCCTGGTCTACGTCACAAGTTCCAGGCCAGCTGGGGCTACAGGGAGACCCTGTCTCAAAAACACCAAAAAACAAAACAAAACAAAACAAAACAAAAACACTGTGCTCAAAAGCAACTTAGGAGAGGAAAGGATTTATTTTCTCTTATACGTTACAGTCCATCATTGAGGGAAGTCAAGGCTGGACCTCAAGGTAGGAACCAGCAGTCTTGCTTTTCCAAACAGCATTACTTACAACCAACAAACTCACTTCTCAGCCAAAGAAGCATGATAGGAACTGTGGAGAATGTCCTTGCTAGCTGGCTCTCAAACAGGCTTATCAGCCAGCTATTGGTACAGTTCAGAACCATCTGCCTAGGGACTGGTGCTGCCCCAAATTGGCTGGCCCTTCTACATCAATTAAAATCAAGATGATCCACCCAGACCAACCTCAGCTAGGAAATTCTCAACTGAGGTTGTCGTCTCATATGAGCCTAGCTGTGTCAAGTTGGCAGTTAAAGCTAACTAGGATGGAAAGCAAAATATTTCACAGAATGGAGTAGAATAGTGGTCTCTCATAAGACAAGAGGAGAGAATAGGGAATAAGGAGGTTTCATACTGGGCGCCAAAACAGAGTAATAAGGTAAAACAATTATGCATGTCTAGGCATAACTACAAAAAACAGTCCCTATGTTCCCAACACACAGAAATTATAAATGATGAGATAGTCATTGTACATTGTATACATGTACTGAATTATTATAAACTCCTCCATGAACATTCAGAGGTATCAGTGTCCAATAAAAATAATTACAAAATTTAAAAGTGATTGAACACAGTTGATTTAAAAGGAGGTAACGTCATGTCTTGAAAGCCATAATAATGGACAAAGTTTTCTAACTCATAAAGTTAATGAGCAAATATATTTTCTATGGGTGTGTGATTTCACAAAACTGATCACACTGGCTAAGAACACTGTGGCAGAAAGAGTATTATTTTCTAGCTGTTGATCTTTTCCCTCTAATACTTCCACCTCACATAGTGTTGACAATGACATTTAATGAACTGTGGCTCAAAGTGACATTTGCTTTTTCTGGTCCTAAAGTATTCCATTGCCAAACTTCCAACTTCTAAATTTTCTTTTCCCCACATTGGAAAACATGAGAGAACTTTAAAAACTATTGTCATGACATTTTCGTTGGTAGTGCCATATTGTTGTGTGTCTGTATGTCCAGTCAATGTCAATCACAATGTCACAGGCAACAAACATTTTAAAGATACAGTGTATAAAATTTAATGGTTTAGGCCACTGATATTTCAAAGTCAAGTTTTTAAAGATAATCTGATTTGTGGCCAATCAGTCCTTGAACAGGATGGATACTAACTCTTATTTCTATGACTTTGAACTACTCCAATGAAGCCCCACAGATGTGTGTTTCCAGCTTGGTCACCACAGAATGAGCGCTTCTTGCCTCTGTGGATCCACAATACAGGGGCACAGCCTCACATTTGTTTTCTGGTGTCTGTGGGATCCTGTGAGGGTGTTGTTTCTTTATGTTCAAGTTCGCTGTAGATTGAAGTTTGAGGTAACAATTCTTGATAAGGGCCTTCAGAAGCTGATTTCCAGCTAAACAGTAGAGAACTCTGAAATAAGACAACATACCATTAAGAATAATACACTTGTGGTGGTTTGAATGAGAAATATTCCCTATGTACTGATGTGTTTGAACACTTGGTCCCCAGTTGGTGGCACTGATTGGGAAGGTAACAGAACCCCCAGGAAGCGGAGGCTTGTTGGAGGTAGTATGTCACTGAGGGCTAGATTTGAGATTTTACAGCCTGGTAGCACTTCCTTTTCTCCATTTCTGCTTCCTGTGTGAAGATGAAATGTGATTTTCTGCTTCCTGGCTGCCAGAGTGGCCTTACACTCCTACTTCCAAGCTTATCCCCCATGGTGCACTCTGGCTATCTGGAGTGGTAAACTGAAATAAACCTTCTTCCCTTTATTTCTTGCAGGGTTTTTTTATCCTACTAACAGTAAAGTAACCAATACAACACTCTAAGTTTCTATCAATTTGTTTTGAAAAATATGCTCCCTTATTTATAGGTGACCTCTGTGGACTTTGGGCTCAGAAGTCCCAAACAGGATAGGGGTTCAGGTCAATTTCATTTTTGACTAAAACTTACCCTATGAATCAAGGTTTCTTTAATGTTTTGCTAAGTGAGTGCCCATGTAGGAGTCACACTAGTGTTTGTTGAATTTATGGAAGGTAAAGAGAAAAAATGATGCAAAGCTATTAAAGTAATTCTTGTACAATAAGATAGAGAGAGGTAAGGGAACTCACTACTTTTCTTCAAATTAGCATAAGACATATAAGTTTATCTATTGGAACATTTGTGCACATGGTTTATCTCTAATGGGTCAGAAAATAATGAGTTACAGATGCAAGATAAATAAGCTATGAGGGGGCTGGAGAGATGGTTAAGACTGCTCTTGTAGAGAACCTGGGTTCGACTTCCAGCACCCACATGGCAGCTAAGAACTGTCCTTAACTCTAGTTCCAGGGGGAATCCAATGCCCTCTTCTGACCTCTGTGGCTTTGCACGACATGGGTGCACTTACACACATGCAGGCAATATACTCATGCACATAAAATAAAAATAATAAATAAAATATTCTTCAAAAATCTATGAGAAGGAATGCACATTATATCTATGTGAAAAAAGGTATGTGTGTTTGTATGCTATTATATCTAACTTACATTTATTGATTATTTGATGACAGAAACTGTAAATTTTAAATGAGATGACTATTACAATTTATAAATTTGATGCAGTATTTATCCTACGGGGCTGTGACTTATGTTTCCTCTCTTATTCTGACCATTGATAGAGTCTTTTAGATGTGACAGGAGGGTTCACTCATGAAATCTCAATGATATGGTTGCCTAAATAATAACTGTATAATGATAATACCAGTCAAATGTCAAATTTCATAAGATCCCACCTCTATCTCTAGATGAAGATCTACAGAAAATCAATGGTTGCAGAGGGAGACAGAATCAGTTTTCTCCGTGGTCAAGCTCCCTGAGAAGTTATTCAATCCCAAATGCTTAGCCCTAAGCACAAGTATGTATGAGCGCCACTAAATGGATTCATTGGCATTTATGTAGATGTATATTATATATAAATATATATATGAGTGTGTGTATCTCTGTGTATTTGGAACAATAGTAATTTAAAAAGAGCTCAGAAATTGGGAGGGAGTGAGGTAACATGGTAGGAGTTGGAGGGAGAAGGAAGAGGAATAAATTTATAATAAATAAATAATAAAGTACCCATGTATAAAGAACATAACTTGTTGAGAACCACTTACAATTTTTTCATTGTTCATTTTACAGGAAGTAAAAGAAAACCTTTACAGGCAATATCATTCAGTGAAGTAATCTCACCCAGCCAACATTCCCATCATCCACTTTATACTTGAACATAGAGAGAGGAAGTGAAATTAAACTTTGCAGACAGGTCGACACCATAAGGATAGTCACGATTCCCTATTTAAGAAAATAGGATTTCATAGTATTCTTTAATATCTTGATGAAAGTTTGGATGGTTTTATCTCAGTACTTCACATAAGGTCCCCAAAGGGGGCGATATTTATTACTTATGAAATGGTGGGATGAATTTGATCTGAAACCTCAAAGTCATGTACTGTCCTAGAACAAGAGGTGGAAACAAAGTAGATTATTCTTCAACCTACCAATGCAGTATAGGAAATAAAACTATGGTGACTTTTTTTTTCAGAATTCCATGGGTTTCTTCTGATTCTAACTTTTCTTCAAATTACTCTTATTTGGTAGTATCAATTATTAATACAGTGAAGCTAACTTTTGGTCAGTCACAAGTATCAGGCTTGTAACTAAACATTGCAAAGCTGATTCTTTTCATTAAATGTCAGATATGGCAAGAATTAAGAACAATGGGAAAATATAAAAATTTTCTAGTTTTTCATTTAAGTTTCCATTGGAAATAAAAAGCAACATGCATTTTAGAGCTAAAAATCAAGTCACCACTGTGAAATGTTTTGTCACTGTGTTCCTTAGTAAAATCTGTCCCACAGCTCCCCAGGGTTCTGCTTCTGTTTCTGTCCCTCACTCCCCCTCCTCCATGTTGCCTTAATTCAAACAATGGTCTATTCTCAGACACTGGAAAGTCAAAATAAGTATTGTTTATCAAAAAACTTTGTAAGGCACTTAATTTTAAAATTATTCAGTGGGGTCTGGATCTGTGGGTAGGAGCACTGGCTGCTCTTGCAGAGGACTCAGGTTCAGTTCTAGTTCCCAGCACAAACACAGTGGCTCACAACCATCAGTAATTCCAAACTCAATGCCCTATTGTTGCCTCTGTGGGCGTTACTCACATGTGGCACACCTACATACATGCTGGCAAGACATTCATATACATAAACTAAAAATAATTTAAAATAAAATCACAGTAGTAACAAATTGGCAAATATTTTTAAGTAACAAAGGATAAAATAAAAATCATATCATCTTTGACCTCAATTTTAATATACTCAGTCTACATCTTTATTGATTTTTCCCTATGAAATAAAAATTGGATTGCCTGAAGTTGGGTTCTCTGACATTTAAACATGCTTTTTTCTTTCCTAAAATTGATACTATTTTTTGGAGGCTCAGGCCATGTCATATTCCTAACATTTTCATTATCTTCCCAAAATGAACATTTAGTTTTCCAGAATTCAGGATGAAAATACTTACAGCTACCATTGATCTGAAGCCAAACATGACCTTTCATAACAGTCAAAGTGGGAAATTTTAAATAAACTACTTGACAGAAGGAAGATTCCAGCTAGTGAGACCAGGGTGCTGACAGTGTTGGTGCCCACATTGCCACTCATCTGAAAAACAAAGGAAACAACTTGCTTCAAATTAATCGCCATAGGACCAAACTTCTAAACCCAGAGGGGAATTCTGAGCCCACAAACTTCTCTATAAGACCACACTGAGGTGTCTTCATTCCCATGTCACCAATTTAGAACAATGTGAATTTGTTGAAGGAAAGTTGCGGGGAATGGTATTTCTAAATACTTGCCATGTGTGATGACATGAAAGAATTCAGATCTGCCTAAGAGACACCTCTGGGCATGTCTGGAAGGGTGTTAAGCAGAGAGGATTCCTTGAATGTGGGAAGCCCCATCTCATGGATTAGGGGCTCAGACCAAAAAACGGGTAAAAGGAAAACATTAACTGAACACAGGCATTCTCCACATCCTGCTTTCTGATTGATCAAGATTTGTCCTAGTACCATGAACTCCACCAGGCCTTCCCTGCCAAGAGCGACTGCTTCATCTGAGATCAGGAGCCCAAACAAATCCTTTTCCCTTTAAGTTGCTCTGTCAGACATGTTGTCACATGACAGAGAAAAGTAATATCTGAATTCTAGATTTCATTGTTTCTTTAGCTCATTCCTCTGTCATAGCTGTGCCATACACTAAAAATAAGAGACCATTTACATACTTGTTTATTTACTGGTGAGACTAAAGGGACTTCAATGAACTACATAAACTTTACTCATTCTTCTGATGGTGATAAGATCTGGTTATCTGTATGTCTCAATTCTAAAGTGATAGATCCTATTTTCAGCTAGTCATATGCGGTGTTTCTTACTACACCAACATCAATATTACCTGAACAAATAAACTGACTCTTAAATTATATTGTTAAGAGTGTCCCTGAACTTGGGAGATATTTGTTCACCAAGATATCTATTAGAACCATTTGTCTCCCAGAACTGTGCTGATGGCTCTCTCTTGTTCCCTCAACCTGTACAGATGGAGGTGTCTGTGTCCTCACTCTGTGCCTGTGGAACTGATGTTAGAATCTTGTTTCCTTCACTGTGTCCTCTGTCAGGCCACACCTATAATTTATTCAAAATGGTTTCTCCAGATTCATGGGGGATGTACAAGTTCAAGTAAGGCTCCACCCATATCTCAATAGACCATCTGGCTACTGGGACCATCCACCTCTAGTATGCATTCATTCAAGGTCACAGATCCTTTCCCAGTCCCCACAGTGTCCACTGGATATGGGTGGGTGCACAGCTTGCAGTGCTTTGATACGTTATCAAGCATGCCCACATTTGTTCATTTTATATATATATATGTATATATATATAATTTTCCTTTATACTTGATAGCCTTATATTTCTTTTTTTAACTTCCATGCCTACTCCCTCCCCTTTCAGGTGGAGGACCAAATTGAGGTTGCCAAGGATACACCCTGGTCATAAGGCCCAAGAATACAGTTTTTCTGGGATTCACTAAAAAGTCATTAGCCCAGATTATTTTCATGAATAAAGATCATTCCCATAGTCATAGGAAGATCAATTGGTTCTATGTTGCAATGTTCCAAAAAAAACAATTCCTTGTGTTATTGCTTAATAATGAACGCCAGTGTTACTTAGTTCTCTGTTTCCCCCTTAATTACTAATCACATAATTATTAACTCACCAGTGATTTTGTTTGCTTCTTGGTAGATACAACAGTTAGAGATCCAGAGATGACAAACTGTTTATAAGACAAGAAAGACATCTGCAGTGTGGAAGCTTCTTTTCCATCACCCCTTCTCTCCCACCAGATGGACATTTTTCTCTGTATCTATTACTCACCTAATGAACAATTCCTTCAAAATTCTAAGATACTGCATAACAAAAGTATCAGTGTTACATTTTATTCTAATTAAAAATAGCATCCTTATGGCAGAACAAAGAAGTAGACCAAAATTAGTGGAAAACAGTGCATTGTTGAAACACATATTAGGTTCAGAGAAGGTAAGATTTAGATTTGAATATACCTGGTATTTATATTAATATATTTTGATAAGAAAAGTGAGAACACACACACACACACAATGACACTCACTTTTCCACTGTTTACACTAATCTAAATATTACCTGAGCCAGGTGTGATACTGACTCCTTAATCCCAACAGTCACAGAGGCTGAGGCAGAAGTCATGAGCTCCAGGCAAGCCTGGGCTCCACAGTGAGCTGTTGCCTCAAAAGAACAAAAAACAAAACAAAACAAAACAAAAAACTCAATAAAAGAAACCAAATCATCTTTGCTATGTGTCAATTGCTTAAAGTAAGGGAACAAGCTTATAATGATTAGCTTTTCATTATATGCCATGAAATAGAGCTTAAAGGTGCCCATATTACAATATGCAATAATGTCATAAATTAAATCCTAGCTTAATATCATTGAAAATATTGACAAGATGTCCAATATACAAGTTGTGTGTTGATACATCTGGTGAATGGATAAATGGTTGACTAATAATTCATTTGAGACACAAATGAAGCATACTCACAGAAAACGATGCCCATATAGGGAAGCCTGTATAAAATAAGAAGAATAAATTGCTGAAATATTTTAAATTAATAGTAAAAAGTCCAATGGTCCCATAGAGGAAATATTTCACACTGATCGTGATCTGAGCCACCTAGAAGAGGGACAAAACAAAGATTCTTTATCAGCCCCCCAAATTAATAAAGGAAAAACACAATGCAGATTTTAAAGACAACAGCGAATATTTCTTTCTGAGGATAATTTCATTTTACCCCAACAATGTGGTCCCAAAGGCTTAACCACATTGGATATCATTAAAAGATCTGTTAAGGGTCAGCTCTGGAAGAATATGCTTCCTTTACTAAAACACTGACCATGTGGGTCAGCCTTGCTCCAAAAAGGCATACTCATTAGTGAGTATCACATCTTGGGCTAGGGGTCCAGGTGTTTGCATAATGCCAGCACCATTAACTTTTTTCTCCCTTGTGCATATCCCTCATTTAAAATGTGGTCTCTTGATTCCAATCCAGGCTTTCTTCTTTTATTCTGCACAATGATTGGTACAAATAATGGCCAAACCCCTCTAGCTTACCCACCTCTTAAACTGGCACAACCCTCCACCCACAAATATCTGCAAATAACCCTAAACTCTTCCTCATTCAAAATTCTTTATCAGTGAGGCTTACTTACACCAAGAGCTTTCAGATTCTCCTTTAGGAATTTTTGCAGCCTGTCTGGTAGGTGGGTGAAATATCAGATGTCTCAGCTTTTTCTACTGGTGCACTTTGGTTTTCATTTTGAAGAATGTCCACAATCTTTCTACCAGAATCCAGAGTTTGGCTCATTCTATAATAAATAGCTGTTGGTTATTTGCATGAGAGGTGCACCCTCTTTGTACAAAGTCATGCAGTCACACTGTTATAATTGTAGTAGACCCTAAATGCCTTTCATATGAAGTTTTTATCTTATATGGAGACAAGTCATTTCTCAAATGATATATGTCCATGCCATGAAGTCTGACATAATAAGTATTAGATAATTAGTGCCAGTATGTATCAAGGAATGGCATGACAGTGTCTGGGAAATATCAGTTCCTAGGTAAGCCTAAAGTGTTCTAGGTTATTGAATGCTATAAAAATTAAGTCCCATTAAATTTTTTGTTTATTTCTGTTTGATACTGTGTCTCCCCTTCCCAGCATCAATTATTGCCAAAAGTTCCTTAAGATGGATTGGGATTCTTACCCATTTTCCCATGTCTATGCTGAGATTTTTCTGGTTTGAGCTTGGATAGGACTTGTGTGTGCTGTCACCACTGTTGTGAGTTCACATAAGTAACTGAGCAGCAGTCTGGAAGACTCCCTTTCCTGTGATCATTCACCTACTCTGGCACTACAGTTTTCCGTAATGATCCCTGAGCCTTGGGAGACAGATGTTTGAAATAGGTGTGATATTCTGGGATAAGCACGCTGTGGTCTCTTGTTCTCTGGACATAGGGCAATTGTGGATTTCTGTGTTAACCGCCATCTGCTCCATAAGGAAACTTCTCTGGGACTCTTGGTGGGATCCTTGGATGAATTTAAAAATGTGCCTCCCAATTTTCTTAGTATCAGTAAGGATGTAAAAGGAAAATTTGTGGTATTATTTTTTCTCCTCATAATTAGGATGTGATATAAATGTCCCACATGCAGGGAGCACTAAGTGGACTTGGGTGAGGGAGGATTGATCTTTCAGGGAATGACTCTAGATAGACTAACTAGAGTCCAGTGAATGAACTTGTACAGAGGGACATCTGGGCACAAAGCTTGACTCGATAGGCCTTGACCTATATGACAGAATACATGAAATCTGGTGGGGGTGTTTGGTGGTTCTTGATGGGGGACAGTGTCTAGATATGATCAAGATTTATTGTATTAAATGCACACACATAAAAAAAGAGAGCCAGGCGTGTTGGCACACGCCTTTAATCTCAGCACTCGGGAGGCAGAGACAGGTGGATTTCTGTGAGTTCAAAGCCTTAATATTGAGTTCTAGGCCACCTGGGGCTACAGGGAGGCCCTGTCTCAAAAAGCGAAAAAAAAAAAAAAGGAAAAAAAAGGGGGAGCACATGAAGTTGGGAGTGAGCAGTTAGGATGTATTTTGAGAACTTCCAAAAATGATGTTGGATTTCTATCTTAGAATTAGCTCCCGAATGGCTCTCCTTGTAACTTAACTCATTTCCAACATTTTAAATCACTCATTCATTCCTTAAAATTTTCCCCTATGTTATACTGGTATATTGAGTTACATCCTCAGACAGTGGCTTATAGTTAAAAATACCTAAATCAAAGCTGGAAAATCCTGTTTTGGTTCTTGAAATTTCATATCAAATGTCACTTTGTGCTCTTCAATGCAAAACCCAGAAACTCATTCATTCACCCGTTCATTCAACACATAGGCATTTCAGGTTCAGAATTACCACAGTGCTCTCCAGGAACACCTATTCACTGATAGCTTTTCTTATTTTCATATCATTTATATGCGATCATATATTGAAATAGTCTGCCCATCATTAACCTTGTCTCTTTAAGCTACAATCCATGTATCTATTCAACATCTTGAGTAAGGCTCTCACATCTCCATTCATCTTTACAAGAAAGCCTGCTCTCCCAACTCTAATATCTTTTTAAAAAAGAACATCTCAAGCTGGGTTTGGTGGTACAGGCCTTTAATCCCAGCACATGGGAGGCAGAGGCTGGAAGATCTCTGATTTCAAGACCAGCTTAGTCTACAAAGCAAGTTCCAGCTGTGGCTACAGGGAAACCCTGTCTCAAAAAAGAAAAAAAAAAAAAAGACATTTCAGTATCTCTTACTCAACCAAAACCACAAGAATTCACTTTATCACATTGGCATCTTTAACTTAAGAACTTAGTTCAGTGTCTCATTTCCTCTTTGGTTACTGTGCCTTCCAACCTAGATCTAATCCTTTTCCTCATATATCTACTAGATTAATTATATGGAGATGTCTCCGTGGTCAAGAGTGTTTATTCTGCAAGCATGACAACCCAAGTTTGAATTCTTAACACCTATGTAAAAAGATAGATATGGGTGAACATGCTGGTTACATCAGCATTTGGGAGACAAAGTCCAATCCTGAGAGCTCTCTGACCAATGAGCCTAGTCAAAGAGAAGCTGTCAGTTTAGTAAAGAGACCCCATTACATTATTCAGAGTTGGTTTTCTGTAAGAAGAAAGGAAGGAAGCCTGGTTTCGTGTCTGAGCCCACTTTCTGCCCATTATCCTTCCAGGTTCTAATATTTACCTCTTGGAATATAGATAAAAGTTGCCCTGAAAATGAAAGAAAAAGTGCTACCTACATGGATTCCTTCCAGCACACAAATGTGGGAAGCTGAAATCCTAAGCAGTGTTTCTTCTGTGCTTGACAAAGACTCAGTCAACATGTGAGGAAGAAAATCTGCATTCTTATCTCTGTGAGCTAGCTCACTCACTCTTATTTCCACACACAGAAACCTCCAGATAACAGTTCTGCTGTGTTTCCTCAAAGTAGATATACATCCTGTTCTCTGTGCAAAATTGGACACATTGCAAACATAATTCTCAATACAACTGGTAGTTCTTTTTTATACGATCTCTATTTCTTTTTCCATTAATCTGACAAAGCTTTCTTATTATTCTAAGACAAATAAAATGATTTCTTTGAAAGCAATCTCCAGAAAGTTCATATTCTCACCCAACTCGTTGGCCTCTGTCTGCTCTTAGCTTACTAACTACATAATTACAAAGATACAATGTGATAAAATGTTTGAGTCATAGCCATCAATATATATTTATAACCGATATCTCTACTTATTTACTTATTTAATACAAAACTTTTATCTTTGCTCCCTAAGTGGAGAGGGGACTCAGAAAATGAAAAATCCAAAGGCCCCAGGGGGGCTTGGGCTTTTAAAATGTTTTTTGGTGGTATGGGACAGATCTTTCTTCCCTAATTATGGATTGGTCATCTTAAAAAAAGGAAGAGAGCCTGTAGCTAACAGCTCCAAGCTGAGTGAGGTATGTTCTGGTCTTGTCTGCTCATCGGCTTTAGTTCCTCAAATTATCCCCTCTGAAGAGGTAACATAAAAATCATTTAGAAGAAGGGCTCAAATTGTGGGATAGATGTAACCCATTTTTCACCAGGAAAATCTAGAGATCAAGTATCTAAGTTTTTTCCCCAGAAGGGATCAGTGTCTGGACTGGAGTTTTAGTTTCTATCCTCATGTACAACCTGTAGGCAGGGTTTTTGATTTAGGAGGCAATTTGAAACAAGGGTTCCCTTTTGGTATTTTTTGGTTAGAGAACCAAGTATCATTTGAATCTGCTGTTTGGGGAACTTCCCTGAACTGCTTATCCAATCTCTATCTCCAGGTCCAGTCCTTCCCTCTCCTGAAGTGGCTACCCTGTCAGTATGGGGTTGGGACAACAATCAGTCTGGCTTCTTTCAGCTGAAGAGGGTCATTGGATATGGCAATCAGGGTACCACAGCAGTGGGCCTACTTAAGGGACCCCATCAATGTATATAACTGCCATCTGTAGAAAGGAAATGAAATCCTTGACTTCTGTTTGGAAAGAGAAATGAGGGACAAGTAAAAGCAAATATTAACATTGTAAGTCCTAGGCAGGGAATCAGGAGTGGCCAGAACAGACAAATATTTTTCAAAGTCCCAATTAAGGCTTGTTAGAATCTCTTCATGAGTTCCCAAAATCATCCACCTATTGGGCTCTTCCTAGTTTTTCTTTAGGTCTCCAAGGCTGCACTCAAGAGTGATGAAACCTTGATGTGTTTCAGGCACTTTGAGAGCTGTTGAAGTGGTGATAATCACAATGAGACATCTCTCCCTGGACAATGAGAGAGAAGTATGGCCATCACTTAATTTTTAAGCTTAAAACAATGGTCAGCCTGTTTCTTTTGGCTGTAGGGGAACACTGTAATTCTGAACTGAGCCAAAGTCTGAAGTCTTATTCTGGACATAATTTTTTTCTTATCAAGAAAAAAATCATTAGTGAGAAATAATTGTCTAAGTAATATTTTATTGGTTAAGTCTAATGCCAAAAGAGTGCAGTCCTGCCAGGGACCAGGCTTAGCACTAAGGAAGAGGCAGGTGGATCTCTGTGAGATTGAGGCCAGCCTGGTCTACACACCAAGGAGTGCAGTCCCTTGGACTGCTGGAGAAATATACCAATCATTTTAATCTTTGGTTATACTTTCCTGTAGGGTGTCTGAGGTCATGTAGGTGACCAAATTTAGTCATTTCCTCTTTTACTGACAAAGACAGTTAAGAATCAGGTCCTTAGGATTTACTTTGACTATTAATGAGCTTTTGACTTTGTTAGCCTTTCTGTTACCAGTTGTTCCATCTTTGCGAGGATGAGTCAACGGCCTTACTTGACTGCGGCTTCACTGGGAAGCACTAAGGAAATATTTTCTCTGTGGTGACCCTGATTGTAGACTGGACACTGGTTAGAGTCCACATGTTGAAGTCTCTGCAACTCCTTGAACAGAAAACAAGTGACTCACCACAGTTACTTGACATTTCAAGAGATGCCTCAGAGTCCCCTGGAACCTAATTTGTCTTGGAGGGCTAGGGGAAAAATATTGTCCCTATAAACCCCACTGATCATATTAGTTTAGACCTTCAAGTATGGCTGTTAGTACCCAGCAGGTCAGTTATACCAGACAGGTACTTTAAACTGCTCTGTAATATTTATGTAAGGCTTGAACAGAAGCCAAACACTTTAAAATAAACTTTGATGAGACACATATTTGTTCTTTTAAGCCAGACCCCTTGATTGTTAATAAGAATA